GTAGCCAGTACTATGTCTTTCCTTTCTTTCCTCCCTTCCTCCCTCTATTGCCCTTCTGCTTCCCAAATGTCCCTTCTGTTTTTAAGATGGAAATTGATACCCCAGTTTCCTGACACTCAGTCTTCTACCTTGTTTGTGTCTTGGGTCATGCCATTCATAGCTAGAAGTCATTCACTTGACCTCAGTCCAACACATGGTACTGGACATGAAGTCTCTTTGCTTCTAATCTTCTTGACCTGGATTCCTAGGTCTGGCACTAGGCTGCTTTTGTAGATCTTGTTCTATGTGCATGTTGTCACCTTTATCTGGGTGACCTCTGGTTACCTCTGTTCAGTTAGAACTCCATCCTTTCTTTTTCCTTCTATGCCTTGTTTCTAATAAAGCCTGCTTGCCTGTCTGGAAGCCAGGATTGGTGATTCCAAGACTCTCTATAATAACTTTACATTCCTTAATAGGGCAAATTCCTTAACTTAATGTTTTTAAGGGAGGTAATAGGTTAGCACATACAAACTCTGTACTGTTTCCTACTAAAATAATGGCTAAGATAGTAAAATCAAAAACTGATGAAGAATTGACAATAAAATTAAGTGGCAAGATATGTCAGAGAAAACAATGAAGGAAACAGGGAAACAATGAAGTAAGTGTCTGATAGAAATGAAGACATAGTTAACACTCAAATTCCCAGTAGCTGCTCATGAGGAATTGTTTCTAGCTAATTCAGTAATAGTAGCTGAATCTTGGAGAAGGCTGTTCAGGCAAATGAAGAGTCTACTGTCTAATGTTGGAAGGGTCTTAATATCCTGGAATATGTAGATTCTTGAAACGCATTAGTTGAAGCTCCTTCTTTAAGAGAAATTTAAAAGAAAAAAAGCCCAAATTGAAGCGGGGGGGTAGGGATCATAGGAGCAAATGAAATGTAAGCTTCAGATACAAAGAAGAGAGGTAAACAGAGCCAGGATATGTATAAATAGGGGCTTTCTTCTTAACTCTTCAAAAACCTACAAGAAATGAAATTCCAGACTTGTAAAGTTAGAAATGGTACCTCAACAAATACTCCCACTTCAAATATCAGGAAAACGGTTTTTATATAAAAGAAAAAGGAACCAAAATAATGAAAGAAAAGAAGAGAGAGTACAACTGGATGAGTGCTAATGAGCATGGATAGTAAGGGGTGCAGTACCCCTGCAAATGATGCAAGCACACCAGTGCTTTAAGATCATAAGTCAGAGAAAAATGCAGCCTGATTCTTTTAAAGATGCTAAGACAAATGCTGTAAATAATAGGATGTAGAGGATAATAATATAAATCAAACTTAGGAAAGCTCTGAAATTAGCTCTTGAAGGCAAGAGTTAGAAATTAAAGAATAAATAATTCCAGAAATGACCAGTAAACTTCTGAGAACATGTGATCAGTAATCTTAAGAGAAAATGTTGTATAAATTTTAGAAGAAAAAGAGAAGGATTTTTTTAAATAAAGAAGACATTTAAAATAATATTGTTTGATCAAAATGACATACACAGAAAACAAGCAACAAGATCCAAAATAATATTTCCTAAACAGGAAAACAAAGTAATGAAACAAAATGAACATTAATGATTATAATTTAAGTAAACTTTCCTGAAAATAAAATTGGTACTACATGATGAAAAGGAGCACTACATACCTGAAGGAGTAATCCATATAAATCACAGCAAGGTATATTGGCAAATATATTAGAGTTTAAAGAAAAGGAAAACAAAGTTGCTGGTCGTGGTGGCACATACCTGTAATCCCAGCCTCTCAGGAAGCTGAGGCAGGAGGATTTAAGTTCAAAAGCCAGCCTCAACAAAAGTGAGGCGCTAAGCAACTCAGTGAGATCCTTTCTCTAAAGAAAATTCAAAATTGGGCTGGAGATGTAGCTAAGTGGTGAGTGCCCCTGAGTTCAATCCCCGGCACCCACCCACCCCACCTCCCCAAAAAAAGAAAGCTTGTCATCCAGGTAAATAAAAAACTTGTAAAAATAATGGGCAAAAACACCTGATTGTCATCATACTTTCTAAAAGCAGCCCTTTACACTGTAAGTAAATGCACTGACATTGTAAACACACTCAAATAATATATTGTCAGCCAAGGACTTCCCATAAACCAAACTCATTTTCAAGTACAAAGACTACATAGATAGCTATTCACATATAAGGACTCAGAATATTGTTCCCAGTAAATGGAAACATCATTTGCTCAGCCCAAACTTTGAATATTTCTCAACGTCTTTTTTTTTTTTCTGTCATAGCTCATATCCAATTCAATTGAAAGTCCTACTGGCTTTGAAAATATATCCCAGATTTGACCTTTCCACCTCCATTGTTATCCTTCAGTTCTAAGCAACTGTCCTCTCTTGCTTGTATTGTAGCAGTGTGCCCCCTACTTAGTTCCTGCTTCTAGCCTTGTCAACCTGTAATTGTACTCCACACAGCACCTAGAATAAGCTGTTATGATATGCTTATGCTCAAAAACTTATGGTTCCTGACATTACTTAGTCTTGGATACCTTCACAGTGTGACACTCACTCACAGTTCCCTGGCCACATTGCTAATGTGTTGAATCAGTATTTTCCAACTGCATGGAACATGTGTGTATTGTTCCCTTGCCTGGAATGCTCCTCCATAGATGGAAATGTGGCTGCTTTCTCGATCCATTAAGGTATCTTTTGTAATATCTTCTCAGGGTTTCCTTTATTGGTTCTCACTGCAAAACAGTACTCCTTCATCACTTTCTCTGCCTGTACTGTGCTTGATAATTTTTGTAAAATTTCTTGATCATCTGACATGTTACAAGTCTTTCTAGTTATGCCTTCATTCCTTGTAAAATATAAGCTTCATGATGAAAGGGACTATGCTTATTTTTTTTTCATTTCTATATCCTCCAACCTCAAATAGTGTTTGGCATGAGGTATAGATTCTCTTGATGTTTCTTGATTGCATTAATGAGTTCATAATAGGTATTACAGACAAAAAATAAAGTTTTTCTATTGCAGAAAGTAGACTAATAATGAGTTGCTAGTGGGGCAAATTGTTTGGAAGAATGTTTAAGTTCCTTACTTAATTTGTCAAAGAGTAGGATGGCATGTATCTGTAGTATGTCCCTTGAAAATGCAACTATCATAGAAGGTACTGGAATTAATATACCTTGAATTTTCTGTCATCTAGCAAAGAGTCAAAAATCCTATAATTGATTCAACTTATAATGATTGTAATTATTTACTAGTTATGTATTCAAGTACCATGTGCCAGCTGAGGTACTATAAGTGAGATTGTATAGCTAACATCTACAGGTAAATTAATCATTTTATAAAATACTTATCCTCTGAGTATTATGGCACTATTTTATATTTTTTACCATGCTAATTATGAATAATAACAAATTATTGTTTTTAAGAAGTCTGCTTTTTATGAAAATTTAAGAAAAAGAGTCCGATGTAAGGGATTTAAAAGTAATTCAATTTATGTGCTATGTAAGTTGATTAGACCATGTGTAGCATGCATAGACTTATTACATCTTTTTTCAGTTACCACCTTTCTCATTATTGTTTATCTGTAGGACCTGAGAAGCCTTTTTCCAGTAGGCCAAGCATCCTCCAGTTTCTAAACCAACCTAAATCAGATTGAGAATACCTTTAAATCCTATACCTCCATGTGGGTTTTGCTTCTTTCCCTGTAATATTGCTGCATGTTCTGTCCTTTGTCATCAGTTACTGCTCAGATTCCTTGATGAAGTGCTGTAAATATCAGCCCATCAGAACAGGGGCTTGGGACCTCTGTACAGTTCTTTCTAGCCCTAAGTATAATCTCGGATCTCCACTATTCTGACTTCCTGGTATGGCCTTAGCGCACATCATGCCACTTTTCCCAACTCTAGAAACCAGTATTTGTCCCTGGGGTTCTGTACAGGAAAAATGAATTATACAAATTTATTTGCCAATATAATAATTTTGTACTATTATCAATTTGTTGATATGAATAAATGTGTACCTCAGGCACAGGTAATTAAATAGAGATATCCAAGTCATTATACTGCATGAGCAGAAAATATGCATATCCGATTATGGACTAGAGACACAAAATTCTCAGAAATAGAGTGGATGGGTATACAGAAATATATGCTTGTAGATTTATAATAAGGAAAAAATACAAAACGTCCCATTTAATAGAATTCCTCTGTCTCCTCCTTTTTTATATTAATTTGTACTTGATTTAGCAATTTTAGCATCCTTAAGCTTAATGAATGGCTTTTATAATTACATTTGGCTCAAATATGCATTAACTTTATGCTAATGATAGGACTAATGCAGTGTCTGAGTGTAAACCAAAAACCTCATGTCTGCAGTGGGCAATTTAATCTTTCTTTTGAAGAATTTGTAATGTGAAACTCCATTTAGCTTTGTAACAGCCTTTCTTAGGGTCAAGCACTTTCCATTAAGTTTGGTATTAGGAATAAGAGAAGATGCATGACTATGTCTTCATCACAGAAATAAACAAGGTAATTAATCCTTATTAATACACAGAAAGGAGCATCTAGTAATGAGGCAATGTAAAAGCCATAAGTTTCAGTATTTAACTGATTTGTTTTTATTTTCTTGCATATGGTACTGTGAAAGTTCAAAAATGGACTGTAGTTATTTGGGTGGAATTTTGAAGCTCTCCTTTATATTAAGAAGAATTCCTCATTCATAACATGTAGACATTTCCTTCTTCTCTGACACTATACTATAAAAAGGAGTGCCTCCTGGTTAGATTCTAAGGCCAAAGTCAAAACTGTTCAAATTTACTTCAGTGGATGTTTAAAAACTTACATAGGACTAGAAATGGTTATAAAACAAATAGATATTTTAAAGCAGCATGTTCTTGGAGAAATTTTTTTTATAAACCTGTATCAGGTAACAATATACAATTTAATAGTATTAAAAATCTATTTTGACTTAAGTAACTATTTACCTCCTTTTTTTTTGCATATGTTCCCTTTAGATAAGAAACGTGGAAACCAATCAATGTTTAGACAACATGGGCCGTAAGGAAAATGAAAAAGTGGGTATATTCAACTGTCATGGCATGGGAGGAAATCAGGTAAACTTTCATTTAATCAGCTTCATGCTTTGGGGGGGAAATGTTGTTAAAATGATGAGTGTAGGCCATAGCTGGAATGCTCATAACACATTTTTACTTTAGCAAATGAATTGGCCTTCAAATCAAGAACAAAATTAGCTATTTTACTGTCCCAGGTATTGTAATATAAGACAGCAGAATTGAATAAAAAGGACAATACTTTCAATGAGCCCAAGTTAATGAGAATAGACAAATATTTTAGACTCATCTCATTTTATCATGCTGAGCAAACGAGGACTACACTCTATTCTGTTATTAACTGAATATAAAATAATCATTTGGCCACTGCAACAATTTCCTGTGGTAATTATTCTATATTTCTTTGGGTAATTTTCATGTGCCTCAGAGTTTCTAGAAGATTTTGAATTTCAGCAAAAATTTAAAGTGTTTGAATCAACACTAAGGCTACCTAAAAGTCTAGGACAATATCTTTTGTGTGATAGTCCAATTAATTATTGGTATCTCTTCAGAGCATATAAAAGGTTCTGTGTTCTCCCTAAGCACTGAGAAGCAGCACTACAGTGAGCGCCATCCAGGTCACTTGGCCATGTCTGGGCCTGAGCAACCCTGCTGCCATGGCCTTTTTGAGAGGTAGGATTTGGAATTCCTGGCAATTGTAATAAGGAGTAGAATTAGAGATGGTTGAATTGGAGATGGTTGAGCCTCTGCTTCTTTGTAATTGGTAAAATTTCTTGGTTAGCATGACCTGAGATTGCACAAGTGTCCATACTTGATCCAGCACGGGTGTCTTCATTCTGTATGGCCACACGTGCTGATTAAGTTTTGATACCACAGTTTATGCAGGGCCTGTGTGATTCTGTGGAGAACATTAAAAGTAAGTTTTTCCCTTAAATATAAAGCAATTAATAATTCAAATCCTAATTAGTGTTCCAAAGTTTCAATTCAAGCAAGAAAATATTTAAAATCAAGTTTCTAACTTATGGCATTTGGGAAAATGACTTTATGAAAGAAGATGATAGAAGCAGTAATTCAGGCAGGACAATAACACGGTATTAAAAAATGAACCAGCACAGTGTCATATTGATTCATGATGAATGTGAGCGGCCTCTCAGGCTAAAAACCAATGAAGTTCAGATAAATTCATCTGGAAACTGAAAAAAAAAAAAAAAAGCTTAAATATCATAAGATTAAATGTGTGGGGTTTATCTTGTTACTTAATAACTAGTCTAAGGTAGTCAATTAAGGACATTGGTTGGGTCCTCAACAATTCCATTAAAAAAACAGAAACATTTTATCTTTCCATTTTTCAATCCTTCAATGAAGTTTTGTCATTGATTGATCTTAGGAGGGTTGCCGAAACTCCAGAAAACACATGTACATTCAAGACAGGAAGAAGTGGGGAAGGGGAAACTACCACAGCCTGTCTGTCCTTTAATTAGGGGAAAAAAAAAAAAAGCCTTCTGGAGGCTGTACATACTTCCACCTATGTCTTTCTGGATGAAATTAAGTTACTTAGTTAACACCCTTAAGTGCAAAAACAGAGAATCTATTTGGCCTCACACTCACACATGGCTGCTCCCTTAGTTGATTTATCCTAGGTATTGGATGAACATTTAAGAGTGACTGCCTCATCTATTCCAATGAATTATGGGGAAATTTTTCAACTAATCATCTGCACCATAATGGCATACAGAATTCAAAAAAGATACATTACTTATGATATCTCCCTAATTCTAATGCAGATTAAAAATAGAAGAAGGTACCCCAGGTAAATTATCCACATAGGTTCATTAAGGTTGCAAGGTTAGTGTTCAAAAGGACAAATAGTTAAATATTCATATTTGTCTGGATGATACCCTAACATATACCTATATTATACATGTTAAAAGTTGCATGTTGTTTGCAGGGTCTATATCTTACTCCTCTCTTTATCCCTAGCACCTACCATAGTCCTTGGGATTTGGTACATACATAATAAATTACTAGTCAAGTAATTAAATGAGAGACTACATGAAGCAATGGATTTGTACCTTAGTACCATGTAGACATGGCCAAGGAAATTTAGCAGTTATTGTCATAGTATCCAAAAGAATAGAAAGACATCAAACTCCAGGCTTCATAAAGCAAAAAAGTAAACAATATACATAAACCAATTTCTACATACATTCTGATATCTCCGCATTGTTAACTTAAGGATAAGAGAGAAATTAAAACCAGTACTTCTCCATCTTCATAAATAATTATTGATGCATACAACTATATATGAAGAATTTTTGGAGTACTTTAACTATATAATAAATAATAGAAACAACTAAGTACCTATTAAGACAAGAATAATTAGATGACTCTTGATGTCCACATAGTATGGAGTACTGTATGCTGCTTACATAACTGAGGAAGGTCTATAGATACTATCATCTAAAATTCAAATGTAGAAAAATATCCAGGGTAAAACTTAATTTAAAGGATCTTACTTTTTGAAAACTGGATGTGAGCATTTTCATTTATGATATCTGTAGTATCCATATACTGACAGGGTGCTCTATAATCTATTAGAAATGGATAGAAATCTGGAATATAGATCACTCTAAAGAGAGGAAATCTAGAAAGAAGTTAGAATTGGAATAGGAGTTATCACTTTTTACTCCACATTTTCTGTGTATGTGTATCACCTTCATAATAAAAATGGAGGATATTAGACTACTGAGTGAGAATTAAATAAAAAACAACATCATCATTTTGTAGAACCACTCTCATCTGATTGAATGTTTTATGGGTAAGTTACTTATATTTCACTTTATTTTATTTTATTTACTTGTAGATGGACACCATACCTTTATTTTATTTACTTATTTCTATATGGTTCTTAGGATCAAACCCAGTGCCTCACATGTTCAAGGCAAGTGCTCCACTGCTAATCCATGGCCCCAGCCCTACTTCAGATTTTTAAGCTTTAATATTTGATGATTTGTAAAATGGATAAAATATTTACCTCAATTTTTTTTCTCAAAAGGCTAGTGAAATCCTTAAAACAATTAACATTATATATGATACATACTGGACTTTAATATATACCGGTCTATTTACATTAAATGTCCCCTTTATTTACAATATCCATTTATGTTCTCAATTATTTTTATTTCTACCCCTAAAAGTAAAAAAGAAAAAGAAAAAAAAAAGAAGAAGAAGGAAAAAGAAAAAAAAATGTTGGTTCAGTGGCTAATGCCATAAGCAAGATAATTTCACTCTTTCTTTAGCATTGTTTAGCTGAAAGCAATGAACTGTTTCTCCTGTTATTCTAACAAATATATATTTTTTAAAAGCTAAAACCTCACATAAAAGCCTATTATTATGACTTGTGCTTTGATAGAATTCTACATTTCCAGGATAATTAATACTTTGGTACATGTTTAAATTTTTTTCCTGTTCACTTTTGAAAAGAACAGATTTTATGATTTTATTCTCAGAGTTACCCTTTCTGTTTTCACTGCTATTCTTTCATGTTGCCATGGAAACAGCATCTATTTTTATGGTTATTTAGTTTTGAATTTTTATAAGTAGCCCCCAGCCCATAAAAATATTCAAATTCTTTCTCCTGCTTTTATAGGAAAATCGTAACAACTGTTAACATCATTTTTTTAAAAAAACTCACTTTTCTAAAAGAGTGTGCTTTATGTTTGATGACAGTTATTCCTTAAACATTTCTCCTTGCACAGGAGTCTTGGTAGTTCTATTTGTTCTTAAGTCAAGACATCAGAAAGAAACTTGCTTTTAAGCAATTGTTAGATATATTCTCCTTAAACACTCAGATATCCAGCAAAATATCAAAATGAATCGATGGAAGTTTTTGTCCCAGGAATATGGTAAAAGCAAGTTTACAGGTGGGAAATGTTATTAAATTTGAAAGGGTCATCTTGAGACAATCTTTGTAAACCTTTAGAAAATAAAAGCTATCTATTTTAGAGAATCATGACAAAATTAGACACTCCATTCCTATCTGTTGCTGTAATGCTTTCCTTTCATTAGCAAATAACATCATGTTGATTATTTAACACTTTTAAAATAATTAAAGCAAAGAGGAATCTTAATAACTTGTGATAAATGTTTACAAGTGAAAACAAAATGAAAGAAAAATAAAAGAAGGGGAGACAGACCTCAACAGATCAGTGATGCTTTATTAAGCACCAGAGGGGCACATTTTCAAGAGAGAAAATGACAACTGGTTACAATAGGGGTCTGAGTTTTATAGGGTTCAGTGAGACTGAACCATAGCAGAATGTGTGGGTTGGGCAATCAGAGGGAACAGTTGTGAAAGTTGAGAGCCCATTGCTGCTGGGAAATGGTGAAAGTCCAGAGCCCACTGGTTTCCTTCTCTCTGCTAGGACCCATTCCTCCTTTTGCCCTGGGGGTTGTTTCCATATCCTTCATTACAAGCTCTGAAGGGTGATAATGAATAGGGGCATTGATACCTCTGTCTGGCTGCTTCCTCCTAAAAATACCCCTCCTTTTTAAGAGTCCTAGGAGAGAGTACCAAGAACATGGCAGTCAAGGCTGAAAAGGGGTGTTTGGAAGGAACCTCAAGGTCATCATAGGCAAAGTCCTCTTTTTGTGGTTTCAGAGAATCAGATTGTGAGCACAGGAGGAGAATGGCTTTGACATGTTCCTGGGAGGTAGTCTGAGCTAAATGGGTCACCTTACTAAGAAGCTGTTTCCCTATAAAATTTAGAATACTGAGAAGCCAGGTGCGGTGGCACGCACCTGTAAGCCCAGTGGCCAAGAGGCTGAGGCAGGAGGATTGCAAGTTCAAAGCCAGCCTCAGCAACTTAGTAAGGTACTTAGCAACTCAGCAAGACCCTGTCTCTAATTAAAAGGGGGGGGGCGGGCGGGGATATGGCTCAGTGGTTAAGCACCCCTGGGTTCAATCCCCAGTATCAAAAAAAAAAAAAAAAAAAGAATACAGAGAAGAAAGTTATTATGAGAAAGATGAATATTAAGATATT